CCTGCCCTTCCCAACCTCCCTCCATAATCCCCCCAACATGTTCGTGTTCATGTATGTATGTATATGATTGTGTACATATAGATGTGTGTGTGTATGTGTATGTATGTTTATGTATGCGTGTGTATGTATATGTATGTGTATTCTTAACTGTGTGAGATTAAAATTAATTATTAATTACTTAATTTTTGTTTAAATTAACTCTAAGTATAGACTTAATATAATCAAGCCCACCTTGAGTTTCTGAACGTAAATATACCCTGTGCTTCTATATATATAAGAACCCCCCTTCCCCCCTTCCCATATTAACGGCCAAGAACTCCTTGATGTTATACTGATACAACACCAGAGTTCCGCCGAGGAAGACCCAGGCGAGGATCTGCATCGATGTCACCCCGTTAGGTGATCTTCCAAATGGACGTGCATGAGTACAAGTACCACCCGTTACCATGACGAATAAAGATTGGTGGAAATTGACCATGGACGTCAATACCCGAAAACACACACATACAAATGGACGTACATAGGTACCACCGAAACACCTGTTACCGTGTCCGATAAAGAATGATGGAAGTTGACCATGGACATCAACACTCGAAACACACACACGCGAGACGATCGTAGAAGTGGATGAGTAGAATGAAATGAAATGAATAGATGAATGAATGAATGAATAAATGAATGAGTGAGTGAATGCCCGAGTGAATAAATGAGTGAATAAATGGATGAATTAGTGAATGTATGAACGAATGAATGAATGAATGGATAAATGAATAAATGAATGAATAATGAATAAATGTGTTGTGCCTCTCCGGGTACAACGGGAATTTTGAGGATGATCCAAGGGTTCGGTTCGTCTTAGGAGTTGGGACTCCGAGTGTCGAGAAACACGAGGCAGAGATTCCGTGCAAAAAGATTTATTTGTACAGCTTACGTATCGTAGAGTTCGGTTTGGTGATGCTTCGGCGATGTAACAATGTCGGCGTTTACAGAATCTCACAGTTTCTTCAAGTATACGCGTCACCACTTAGTTTCAGAATACGGCCCCGAGGTACTCGTTATCTCTCTTTTTATGGTCCAAAAGTAGGTGATTTTTCGGTACTAGGTCGCGATGTCTTAATTGCATATTGCAACGAATTGCATATCTTGCATTTAATCG